AAGTCTTTCTTTCAAGAGCTTTCCTTTCATGAAAACACATATAGGGATATCTACTTTCCCAGAGATCCTGAGGAAAGCTTTGAAAATGCAAGCTCTTGCCCGCAGAAATCTAGAAGAAAGCTTGTAACATACAAGGTTTCTATATGGTTGTTTAAATCTAAACATGATTATCTGCAGAGATCTATAAAGAATCTTTTATAACATAAAAGAATCTATACACAATCTTTCCAATCTAAACATAATTATAAGCAGAGATCTAGAGGACAATTGTTAAAATAACCACTTTTATGGCCTGCTTCTTTTCTAATTATCTTGTTCCAAACCATCTGAATGACTGATTGTTGCTTCCAAACCATAATATATTTGTTCATATAGAGTGAGAGCAAGAATAGATATGTGTGTTTATATGGAGAGGGGCTGCCACTAAAGCATGTACCTAAAATTTTAGGGAAAACCAAAACCCAGGCCCCATGACCACCCGCTCTCAATTTTTAAATATATTGCTATAAAATATTGCTAAAAATACAACATACCAATTATCAATCAAACATCGTTATTGTTCTCTATAATATATTATTCATATATTCATTCATTCCATTCCATTTCATTTCATTTCATTGCATTTCATTCCCATTAAATATATCTCCCTTGCCCGTGTTGGGTTGTTACTATTCCGAAGCATAGCCGGAAGCTTGGTAACGCTCTGAAGCGCAAATCGGATGAATCGACCGCTATTCGGCATCTCAAAATCAGGTGTCAAAATTGCCCGCTAGAAGATCAACCAAGTCAGGTAGATTGTAGTTGGCCCACGGCTGATAGACGGCCGTGATGTTTTCTTACATGTTTATTGATTTTTCGTTTTATACGCTGTCGTTTTTGCATGTTTGCTTGAGGGGGATGTGGATGCTACGTGTGGGAATGGGGTGGGGTGGGGTGGGGCATGTTAACGTTCGGTTGCATTTGTTGCATGAAGTGGATGTTGTGTTCAATTGCTGCGCGAAAGTTTGACCTATGCCACACCGGCTCAGTTCTTGCGCTTGGAGGAGCTCTTGTGAAGATTGAAAAAGTCGCAACTTTTTCCGACGGCCCAATTAATTACGTAGTTTCAAAAATGTATCGAAATCAGCATTTCGCCTCAGCGAAACTTTCATTTTAAGCAAATCTGCTTGGAATTGGCCATGATTCCATTGATGAAATATTGGACACATCATTCCTAATGGAATTACGCACATTTCGACATAATTAACCCACGACCATCATTGATTTCCACCACGGCCATCTATCCGCCGTGTACCCAATTTTGATATAGATCGTCGTCGTCGGCCGCAATCGAAATCAGGCATATATCACGGTAGGCCTCAAGAGGTAATGCAAGGCTCCAGGAATAAAAATATCGTCAATCATGAATGTGGAGCCGCTTTGCCTCAGGCATACCTGATACTATCCCGTGTTAGGCTCTAGCCCACAACCCAAAAAGGCGTCCAAATGGTGCAAAAGCTTCCACGCTCTCGAAAGAATGGGAGTGTGGCCTCAATGCGCGGGCAATGGACGAGACCAACATATTTCTCTTGAAGAAATGCGAAGCGGCACCATTGCACCCAATTGCAAGCGCAACCCGGCCGGTGCACGAACAAAGGCATGCCGAAACGATTCCTATATTTACCATTATTCTATCAAATATTGCAAGATCTCATTTTGATTATATTGCAAGGCAATAAGTATATCCTCAAAACCGTGAACATGCACAATAAAGACAGAATCTTTCTTCCCAATACGGCACGGAAGGCTTAGCGTGGACAATTGTACATTTATATTGCATCCCTTAGCCATCCAAAAATGAACCAATCCATCCTATTGTTGCCCCATAATGCGATTAACATACAAATATTGCAAAAGGTATCCTATATATGTTTTAAGATATAAATTAAATAAATTAATTATCAAATTTTAAATTACTATCAATAATATATTAAATTCTATTATTATATGTAATATATATTTATGATATAAATTAAATAGATCTATATTTATATATATATATTAATATTTAATTATTAATCAATATCTATTTATAATATATATTCATTTATATTAAATCACAAAGAAAATTTTTATTTATTAAAATTATCATTAAATAATCGAAATATAGATCAATTTTTAATATATATATTTAAATAAATATAAAAAATATTTTTTTTCCCCAAATAGTGTAGATCCATTCAGGGATTCTTATGACAAGAATATAACGATATCAATTGCTATTTCATTATTATTTACAATGAATTCATGCCTCTCGAAATAATCCAAATTTTCAATTCGATTGTGTAGGCTCACGAAATTTGCTTGGGCGCGATGGGTACTTCTAACGATTACGTTTTCGTTGTGGTTTCATACATATTTTCATATATGGGGGTTATTTTTCGTAGCGGATGCAAGGAAAACCTCGTATTCTCATAATTCATCGTGATAGGGAAAACGAATCGGATTAATTTTATTTCGACATTCAATATGGCGCTGAAATTTTCGAGACAAAATCATTTAAAATTTCATTCTTAGGACAATATTTCATGAATTCAATATATGAATTTTATTATAAATATAATTTGCATATATATGCAAATTTCCACCAAAACATTTCCTAAGCTTCTACAAATGTTCGTAATAAATACAATATTTTATATATCTAAAAATATTAAATTTATAAAAATTATTTTAATTTCCTTTATTCGCCATATTCGCAAAAAATATTATAGCATTCGTACGTTTTATCTTTCGCCAAAATGTATTGTAATTATCTATGCCATATATATTATATTTTATTTACGTTATTAATAAACATAAAATAGAAATTTCATTATTTATCAATAAATATATATTTTATATTAAATTATTAATACCCTATCCATATCTTATATTCATCCTAGGTATTATAATAGCCGATTAATTGCCTACGAATCAAAACATAATTAATTATTTTATTGTAAATTTTAAATTAAATTTTTGTTTTTTTATAAAATAAACATTTGTAACATTATTTTCCCAAAATAAGAATAAATATAATAATAATCATATCCATAATTCTTATTTTTTCTCCCTTTCACTCATCATTCTCACACACTCTCACTCATACCCACCTTCACTCTCATCACTCTCACTCACTCACTCACTCACTCACTCACTCACACTCACACTCACACTCGCACTCACACTCACACTCTCACTCTCACCCTCACCCTCACCCTCACCCTCACTCTCACTCTCACTCTCACTCTCACTCTCACTCTCACTCTCAC